AGAATTTAAGAATTCTAGATGAATAAATCGCTTATCCACCTTAAATATTTAACAATTCGCATAGTTTTCTGAGTGATTAACTTCATAAGTTTAGCATTTAATCTACAAACTACATTGCTCAAGCATAATCATCGGATAATTGAGATATGAGATACTTGATGAAGATAGACTTGATTCTTCGTGCTTGAGTTATCGTAAAAACGATCTAATTCCGCGATCTAGCGCGCATTTACGCGAGTAAATCTTATAGAATGATAGAAGCACACATATCAAATTACAAAATAAGTCAACGCAGAATTCTTCAGCATCTTTTTGTTTTAGTAAAAAATTTTTTAATATATATTTATATAATCTTTTATATATTTGAAACTATTGAAAAGAATCTGACGAATTTATGTATAGTCAGCGAGCAGATTTATTTATTTCTTCATGAATAATTCAAGCATTCACTAACAAAACTTCGAAGCATTAAAAAAAAATATGAGATTGCAAGAAAGATGGAAAAAATGAAAATTATGAATACGCAAAAAATTTGCAGGATTATTAAGTATAAAATGTTTGACGATTTTCTTTTTTAACGCTAATCTACTGCATAGTCCAAAAGAAATATGGAAAAAGGAAAAGATAATTCTTCTTTTTCAAGTACATTTTACCAATTAGGACGACCAAGTGGCATTTTGTTTCGACTAATTTTCAGTTAAGCCATCATCAATTTGATTTCTGTCGTTTAAAAATGAAATCGAATTGGATGCATCTGTTCTTAAATGCCATCAGCTATTGCAGCCAAAAATGAGTAATAAAAGAATATACATATAAATGAAGTTTTAAATTATTTAGTAGGAAATAATAAATTTTCATAAATTTTAATATTTCTAAATACTGAATGAATTTTACTTCAAGTTATTATTTTCTTTATTTTAAAATTTCTTCAGGCTCATTTTCGAAATTTTGTTTTTTTATTAAAACTTCATTAATGCTTCTTATCGTAATTGTTGGTTTTTGCTGAGATCAAAACTGTTTCATCCAGAAACATTTGGAAATAGTTCATAGTTTGGCCATAAAGGCCTTAAGATTCTTCTTCATCAAGAGGCAAAAATCAAATTCATACTGCTCGTTTTTTCATAAAGTATATCCAGTGATTTGCTTAACTTTTTCATCATTAATCGCATAATTTAATCATAATTTAAGATTTATTTGACTGGATAATCCGAAAATACTAAAAATAATTGATCATGTGCTAAATAATATTATCCATGGATTCAAATGGTAAGAGATTCAATTCAAATTTTCAGTTCAAATGGTAGAATTTCGTTTCGAATTTATTCAAGTAGAGGCTTATAAAATATTAGTAGGAAACAATTTTTTTTTGACAATTTACTATCTTCTTAAAAACTGTAATTATGATAGGAAATATATTATTATAGGATTAATAATTCGGTCTATCATTTTGACAAATATATTTAATCGCTTAATATGATAATGAATAATCTTTTGAGTACTAATGAAGTTGCTTGCAATTTTGACTGATAAGTGATATCGACAAAATTTATCACCTTCACATTATCATTGATAATCATTTTAATTATTTATTAGGCACTTTAATTTATCTCTTAAAAGCTGTAATCATAGTGAAAAATATCATTATTATAGGATTAATAATTCTGCTTGTCGCTTTGACAAACATATTAAATCATTTAATCTGATAATAAATGATATTTCGGATAAAATTAATAAAATTAGTTACAACTTTGACTGATAAATAATGAATGAAATTTATAACACTTATTGTCTTGATGCTTTTAGTGATAATCATTTTCATCCATAAAGTTTTAGCTCTGTTTATAAGCCTTTTGTTCAAATTTAAAAGCACCGTTTCTCTTAAATTTAACATTGGAAAAATTATTTCCCAATGGCGTTCAATGTGATTCCTTAAATAGGCGTGTTTCGATAATGGAACCGCCTTAAATTTTCATAAAATTATTTCAGATTGACTCGATTTGCTCTCTCCTCCTTGTTTTCCTTGTTCGCATTTGGACAGCATTGTAAGACAAAACTTTTTTTCTTTTTTTTTTCTAATAATTTCCTACCTTTCTTTTTTTTAAAATTATAATCGCTAAAACTATTTTTACTACTAAAAATTAGCCCAAACTTCCCGACGGGTGATTGCGGTGAGGCGCAATATTTCCTATTTAAGCGATATAATCATTAATCATGCATTTCTTGTTTTTAATAAGTATATAAGCATTCACTATAAGCATTCACTATTTTTAATTTTTAATTGGTTCCACTGGCTATTAGGATGAGAGTCGTTCACCAGAGAGTCGCTAGAAGATAGAACAAAAATAGAATAAAAAAGTAGAAATACAGGTGAATTCTCGACATTTTTCATAATATCCGTTCAAATCAAAATGAAAACTCTTTTGGCTTTTTTTCGAATCCAATTGTTACTGAAAATTTATTTTAATATAATTTTAATAGTTAGCAATGGAAAATTTTCAAATTCCATCGAAAAGTATCTTCGAAAAATTTCGTAGAAAAGATTAAATAATTTGATCTCTATTGTTTCTATTATTCAATCGCTGAAATGAATAAAATTTTTTTATTATTAATTATTAAAATCTAATGTTAGATTAAAGTTATGTTAAAATAGATTTTCGAAGTTTTTTTTTACCATCAGAGAAAAATTTTTTTAACTATTTTTCAATTTTCTAGAATCGCTGAAATGACTTTTAATTAAATAACACTTTTTCCTTTTTTCCAAATTTTCTTTTCTTTTTATTTCATTTTCTTACGTTAATCCATAATTTTTAAAAATCTCTGTATAAATCTTTACAATTTGTTAAAATCAACTACGTGGAACCAAATCGTGAGCGCCACTTTCCATAAATGCCATACGTTTTCTTGTTTCTTGAATAAATATTAATATTGCGAGTCCGATTTAGTTTTATAGTTTTTTTATAGGTTTATCATCATGTTTACCTCTTTTAATTGTATGAGATCCTTCGATATTGCTTCATAATTTCTCAGGATTTTCTTTTCCATGCAACTGAAATATAAAAATAAAAAATACATAAATTGCAAATATTTATCGCTTCAATAATTTTGATTGCCTTTTGTCGATAAGGTAGTAAAAATTTTAGGAAATTTTTACCCACTCATTCTTAGTTAGTTAATCGCTTAAAAATTTTAGCTTTAGAAGACCAGTGACCATTCTGTTTTCTTTGGCGGTATGCGACATTTTAATTATTGCAACTGTAGATATATGACAATTTTCATTCATTCTATCATAGTAATCAGATAAGTTATGGTTATCTTCGTCTTAAACGCATCAATTTACCTTTATTTACGACATATATACGCCCCACAATTACAATTACCTTTTTGATAATTGCCATATGGCTCTATATCAATAGGAAATTATTTAAAAAATCTTGATAATCTTAATGTCATCGTTCGCTAATTCTCTGAAAATAAACATTCGAAAGGCGCTTATAATTCATCATATCAACCACACCACAATTTCGAAATATTTGAGAATCTTCATCAGTTGTAATCATTATGATTTTAAAGCTGTAGTATTGATTCTAGAGGTCAACACATGCAAACTTAAGCCTACAATATTTCATTGATTTTGCACATATATTAAATGTAGTATGATTTGTTTTGAGACTCACAAAAATCCCACATAGTACCATAAATAGGATTCAGGAATCAGTGCATTTCTGCAATGTGGAATAAACTTCTCATATGCTCCTTATATACTTTATTATAGAAATAATATATTTTATATGCAAGCTAATTATAATTATTACATAATTATATCACGTATTATATAATTATTGTACTATTTATAATATTTTTAGATATTTTGGGATCCTTAGAACTCTTAGATTCTTTATATTCTATCAGATTTCCGAAAAATCAAAAAAAATTTGGCGCGAGCGCATAAAAAAGTAGAGTGAAAGTGAAAGTATTTCATCGTTAATGTTTGTAGTAGATCCATAATAAATCATTCTCTTTGTGTCTCATTATTGTATTTTATTTCCGATTTTTTTTCCAAAATAAAATTTTTTAAATCGATCATAACAAGTAGAATTCTTTAATGCATCAAATGGGACATTTAACTTTCTATAAATTTTTTTATTTTATTGGTAAAAAATAAATAACTTTTGTATTTTAATTGTATTACTTATACTTATGTAAAGAGTATAAAGAGTATGTAAGAGTTTCTGTTCAAAATACAAGAAATTGAATTTTGCTAGGAAATAAGTTGGAAAGAAAAGGATAAGCAAAATAGCGAAAAAGGGCGAAAAATAGCGAAAAAGAGCGTAGTCTATTTGTGGGAAACTTGATAAGACAGACAGAATAGTTTTATTAACATTTAATATGTTTTTGAGCCTTTAAGGCCTTAAGTCATTTAGTTTCTTAAAATAAATAAGGAGTAATTTCCTCGAAAAATTATGGAATAGTAACGAGTTTAACGGAAAGGAAATTTCTCTAATGGATTTAGCTATGTTATAATCAATTACAAATCGCCTAACTTTATTTTTTTTTCTATAATATATAAAAAGAGTTTTGTATCGATAGCGACTTTATTGTTTTCTTTTCAATAAAAATTGTTTGATTGAATAATATGTTTTTTTTTACAAAGAATCTTTTTTCTTGTTGTCGTCAATCCTTTGTTTGTCATATTGTCCAAGCTAAAATGACACTGCCAGTGATATATACAACCTTTCAAAAGCATTCATCTAAATTCACATTCAGGTATATATCCACATTTCTAATATTTCTTAATACTATTGCTTTTTTCACTGGTGGAAAATCAACTGTTACTTTTTTTTTGACGCAAATTCAACAAATTCTGAATAAACGTCTATTATTTATTCGATCATAACGAAGGTGCAAAATATAGCCGTGCAACAATTCAACTCCTCGAATTTTGTTACGGATTAATTCCGTACTCTGATTATTAATATTAATATTTTTGTATTTAATTGATAATGAAAGAATTGTCGATGATCTATCCGAATATAGCAAGCACTCCTTCTGTATCTACAATACCGATAAATATGACGAGACATAAAGTGGCTGATGAAGAAATCGATGATGATGAATTAGGTTCATTGTCATCAGATGGTGGTAGATCATCATCTGCAGGTATTTTTAATTTCATTAAGAGCTTAATTACTTAATTTCAATTTAGACAAGAGATTTAGAGAACTTATATTCTCATCAAGCAGTCTTTTTTTACAATAATATCGTTTTTTTGCAATTTCCCACAATTCATTGATGATGAATATCATTTCTTCTTATTAGTTCTTTTAAATATTTTGCTTTTCCGTAATACTCATGAAATAGGTAGGTAAGAAATGGCTTAGCTACAAATATTTATTTTTCTAGTTATAGCATTGATCATTACTTTTGAGAATATTCAGCTGGCCTTAATAATAGTAATTTATCGTCAATGGATTCGCATGTGAAACGGCCTATGAATGCATTTATGGTTTGGTCAAGAGGTCAGCGTAGAAAGATGGCTCAGGATCATCCAAAAATGCATAATAGTGAGATTAGTAAACGATTAGGTTAGTTTTTCTTTCACTTCAAAAACTTATTAATTTTTTTCATTAATTTTGTTGTCAAGAATTTCTTGTAAACTTTTGATTTATTCTAATTAATTTTATAAAAATAATTTATGAAAAACACATTTAAAGGTTATGAATGGAAGCAACTCGGTGACGCTGAAAAACGGCCATTCATCGATGAAGCTAAACGATTGAGGGCTCTTCATATGAAAGAACATCCGGATTATAAGTATCGACCACGTAGAAAACCAAAAAATGTAGTAAAATCGAAGGAAAGATATCCTTTCACTTTACCATTTACAACCTTTGCACCACCTAATTTACTTGGTAAATAGTTAAAAAATTTATTTGCTTATTGACTTATTTGTATATTTCATAAATGCTTAAAAGATTTTTAGGCTTTATCATTTTTCATACAATAAATATTATATTTTATCAAATAATCAGTAAAGAATGGAAAATTTTAGCGCTTCCAAATCAACCCACTATATCTCATGGAACAAGTTTCTATCAACCTATGCATCCACTTGATATGGCTGCTAAAATAGCAGCTGATAGTGCAGCACTAACGAAAGCAACTGAATTTTCATATTATCCGCCATTTTTTCATCCATCTGCACCAAATGCTGCACCACCAAAGTAAGGATTACATTTTTCACGCTCTCTATCTCATTTTCAAAACTATCCTTCAAGTATAAATTGCAATTTTTATCTAAGAGCGCCCATCATTTCTGGTCAAGCTCACTCCGTTGGTGACTTTCCAGACGAAAAAAATCTTGATAGGGAATTACTTGACGATGGAAGGACAAGAAATAATTAAATATTTATTAAATTAAATAATTATTTCTCAATTTTTAATAGTCTCGTAAAGTCTCTATTAGCATTCTTAAACATGCCTATTATTTCTTGTTAATCATTTTCAGCCTCATTCATACCTATAATCCGTATGATATTCAACGAAATGTCTTAGCTGCTTATGCTATGAAAACGAATGCAATGGCCCATGCAGCAGTTGCAGCTGCAGTTGTACAACCGTCACATATACCACCTTCAACCACTCCGTTATAAATTATACGGGTGTTAATTCAAAATTATGGATTTATTACAAATAACTCGTTAGTATTTATGAATAATTTATTGAATAATTTATTGAATAATTTTACAGAACTCAGAAGTATTAATTTATTTGAATTATTTTGCTTTCTTTCTTATTTTTTTGTATGCATATTTTGTATACATATTTTCAGTGTAAATTTTTGTTAAAATTGTTAATTTTTTTTTTATCTCAATTTGCACTAAAATTTTTTGATTAATTGAATTGAATTGGACCAAGTTTTTAACGATTTTAGTCGACGATATATCAAAAAAAATATTTTTATTGTACTAATTTATCCAGAAAAATTGGAAATTATACTAAATTACTCACTAAATTACAGTTATGCATAATTAGCAACAAATGCTGTTGCACGCAGTTAATTCTTATATAATGATTATCCATAAATTGAATATTGCTTGTTTAAATGAAATTTCTTTCATGAAGTAAATAGAATTTCATAATTGGATGGTGGCGTTGGTTGAAAAACAAATATGCATACATGCATTCCCTAATATTTTAAATAATTCCATCTATCTTTTTTATTTTGAATAATTAAATAAATTTCGAAAATTATTATAATTTATATCGTTATTACTGTTATATTGCCATATAACTGCTATAATTACTAACATTTTACCTAATAATAATAAATATTTACTCATATCAAATTCACATACACCTATTGTTTACTCGTTGATTCATGTATCTATCACATTTATCATTTATCGATAATCTAAAGATACATACAAAAATTGCACAATTTCAGCATCCCACATCATTAATTTCATTATTTATTACAAATTTTGTTAATAAAAAAGCTAAAAAAGAGGTGCAAATGAGGAATTTTTTTAGCAAAATGTGCAAAATGCTCACCATTTATATTGAAAATTCAATTCGTTTCTGCAAAGTTTATTTTGTAATTCATTCATTCATTCATTCTCGATACCATCAATCGTATAGACAAGGTTAATAATAATTTTCCTTAGTGTCTATTATCGAATATCATAATTACATTAGAAAGAAAAAATAATAATAATAGGCGATAAAAAAAGAAGATTCTTTTGTATGAATATCGTCAAGTATGAACGAACAGTAGCAGACACGCATGCAAAATTTCGCCTTTGCATGCATTATGCGATAATCGATGAAATTAGATGAATGAAGAAAATGACTAAAGAAACTTGTTTCCTAAGAAATTCAACATTTTTTTTTAAAAAAAGAAAATATTTCTTGTTCTTAAATTCGATTTATAATTTTAAAAATTTTGCATAATTATGTAAATGTATGTGTATGTAATTATGTGTGTACGTGCATATATATATTTATGTATGTATGTATTTATGTATACGTGTATGTATATGCATGTATGGCAATTTAATCAACGTTTTGAGAAGAAAAATAATAATTAATATTAAGGGGAAGTTATCTTTTATATTCATTCGCTTTCTTCTTTGTTCCTTTATATCATATTTTTTCCCATTTTTTTCCATATCTCTTTCTATGCAACAATTTTTTTTGCAATGATTTATACGAATTTTTCAATATATAAGTAATATGGCGAAATTTTATGGTTCTGAGTAGGTAAATCTTTCATTAAAGAACAGAATGGCTCGTTAGCAGATTGTTCAATTCGAAGCGCTGATGCCCACGCGGGTGTGGTACTCTCGGCAGGAAAAAACCTGCCTAAAAATCTAAATGATGTTACCATATTTATTCAGTGCAACAAGCCAGTGAAGCGAGTCTAACTAGTAGTGGTGAGTGCTCCTTAAAAAAAACCTTTTATTAAAAAGGTGAATAGTTCCATCAACATTCAAATGATAAGCAATGGAATGAGGCAAATCAGAAATAATTAGTGCTAATTGCTAACCACTAACAAACTAATTAACTGATTGTATAAGGTTTAAAAATTAAATGTTAATTAAGTATTTAATTAATTAAAAAAATTCTAATGTTTAATTGGCCAATTTTTTTTCGATAAAATATTTAAATTTCTAATTTTTTCGTTGGCTATTTGTATATATGAATTTAAATTTATTTATTTTTATATTAGAAAATTGTCAAAATTGATTGAATTTCTTTTTTTTTATTTAAATGGTAGTTTTTTTAAAGGCTTCAAAACATGAAGTGCATACAATAGCTTTCAATTTTTTTCTATTCTTTCACATTGATCAGTTCGATATTTATTTTGTAATTATCAAATCGAAGAAAAAATGTGAAACATTTTTGCTAAAGAAATCAGTAGGATTTAATGGATTTGCAAAAAATATTTCGGCAGATAGAAGTGGAGTGAATTTGTAACGCATTTCTTCTAATAGCGCGCATTTATTACCTGATTAGGCTCACTGCATTGGCCACAATAATTAAAATATTTTCAAGCCTAATGCATTTGAAAATAAATATTTTGCAAAGAAATATTCAAATAAATAACCATAAAAAAATTAACGAAATGAGGTGAGAAAATCAATTTTTTGCAAGAAAAATTTTAGCATAATATTCTAAAAAATGTTTCATTCTAAAAAATTCCAAATTTATCTATTCTAATATCTTAATAAATTAGTATATGAATTAAAACATTAATTCTATAGATTACTAAAGGCTCATAGAATACAAAGAATCTTCCTTGTTCACAGATATTCTCGTATAAAACGATTGGCTGAAATAAATAACTAAAGTTTTTCATTGAGCTGCTAAAATTGCGCTAAAAATTTGGTAAACATTGTTCATTTTTAAAATTTTAGAATTATTATTGTTAAATCGTATTTATCGCAACGATACTCGTCAATCTAAAGTATTATAGAAGTATGTATTGTAGAACAATATTGACAACTTATTTTTCATTATTATTGTATCACTTAAAATCGAAAATCGAAAAAAAAATTTTGGGGGAAAATATATGGAATAAGTGATTTGTTAGTGTTCTTCGATAATATCAGATTGACTTCGCTTTCGCTTTTCTATTTTCCTTTCTAATTTGTCCTTTTTGTTTCTATTCTTATAAATTCTCATACCTTTCAATCTCGCATTGTAATTTCCTTTTTTTTATTACCTCAATTTTCATTCGATAATTATATTTTGCTTTATCTTATTTTTTTGACAAAAATTTGATTGTATCTCTGAAATTTTTTTCATTTTTTCACAATTTTAAAAGAGAAAACATTTACAAATATAACAATTTAGTTTAAATAATAACAATAAAAAAATGTTTAAAGTTCATTCATTTTTATATAAAAAAGAAATTACAAAAAAAAATTTGTACAAAAAATTTTTGCGAAAATAGGAAAATTTTTTTCATAATTTTTTTCATGAATTTTTATGAATAATCTAATAAAGTATTTTATTTTTTTATATTTTTAATTAATTCTTTATAAAATTCTTTATAAAATTTATTTGTGGAAATCAATTGGCTATAAAATTAAAAGATCATCAGCTATCGGTTTATTTATTACTAAATTATTTGTATTTGGCGTTGCTAAAAATTTTTTTCCCTACTATTTTTTTAGCTCGTTTATAGAAAAATTATTTTCAGCTAAAATCCAAGCTATTATGAAAATCCCATGAAGACGATATGCGCGACTATTTGAGATAGAAACGAATTGAAATCATAAATCAGTAGAATTTATATGTGCACAGTTGTTTTCAAGGATTGTTTTCATTCATTTTGCTGGTTATTTTTTTCTTCGATTTATTATTATTATTAATTTTACTATCTTCAAAATTGAAATTGTTAAATCTTTCATTGTAAGTAATCACAATGTTAATCTCTCTCTCTCTCTCTCTCTACATTCATTTTCAATGTTAAAAAATGAGTTCATTGAATGCAACGAGATTTTCTTGCAATTGCAATTGTAATTCGTCATTTTTTTTCCCAGAATTTCTTAGTTTTAATTTATTTTCTGTGGAAATCGGTGCTGTTAAATTTATGGAGTTTCATTTAACAGGGATCATCCATGCGTAAACCAGTCATTATGAATCGATATTGTTTGAATACATTAAGGCAAGAAACGAATCTCTTTTCATTGTCATTTTTTTTAATAGTAAGTGCAATATTTTTCAAAATTCCACTGAAATTTAGCAAAAAATTTTAGTCAGCTTAATCGTTTTGCTCTTTTAAGCCTTAATAAATAATGGTTTTTAATGGTCCTATTTTTATTTAATATTAATATTATTAATATTAATTTTTATTTAATAACTTTATGCTTTTTTGTGTATTTATGTAAATATATTTCTCTAATAGCGTATAAATGCTTAGATTGATCGTGGTGCCAAAAAAATTTTTTTTGTAACTGATTTCACTCGCTCCAAGTAATGCATTTCATTTTAAAACTCTCAGATCCTCGATATTTAGTCACACTGAGATATTTAATAATCTTTCCTGAATTTCGATAATCATTCCATGGTATATTAAATTTATGCTTGAGAATTATGATTGAGAAAATAAGCATCTAAAATCTTATCAGTTGATTAGCAGTCAGTTTTTTTGAATTCATTTGAATCTCAATTGGTTGTTAATCGAAAAATCGAATCATAATTTTTTCGTTAATATGATTTTCTTTCATCAATGTGTAATTCTTTTGTATGCATTTCTAATTGCATGTGTAAAGTCCTCTGAAATTTTTCTATAGAAATTTTTAATATGGAAAAATGCGCGGCATATGTCAACTATGAAGTAATTCATCGTAATGTGTCTTTGAAATAAATGTAACAAAACAGTTAGTTAAAGGGAAATTCATAAAAATGGCAGATAATAAATAATTCAAGGGGAAACAATAAATTATATTTTATTTACATTATTTATGGTACTGAATCGGCAAGCAAGTTATTGAGTTAATTGTTCTTAATAATGCCAGAAATCTTGTTTTACAAATTCTTGTTTTCTTCATCAAAGCCATTTTTCATTCTTCTCAGTAAAAGAACGAATGAACGATTAACATATGTTCATGAGTTCATATTTGCAACATATCCATGATAGATA